GTCAGACAGCCAACCAGCCATCCAGACTGTAAGTCAGTCATGCAGCACATGTACAATAGTATACCTCGGGTACAAGGTTTCATCAAAACATTTCTCAAGTTGCTTAAGAAGTCCACCTCCTTCTTTTGCGCTTATGTTTTGGTTTCTTGCTTCCTCATAAATAAGGGAGTGAAATAAATGAATACAAAGTAAACAGAGGATGAAGGAATATTAGGCAAGGAAAGGTAGGCAAAAACAAGATGTGTTTTTTGGTTTGTTTACATTGTAGGTATCTTGTTTGGGCTTTTAATGGGAGTAATTTTTTGTATTTAAGACATTTTAAATGTCCTTTATTATTTATAATTAAAAAAAAAACTTAATTATTTAAAAGTTTTATTAAATCTCATTCCCAAAGCAATACTTAGAGTTTTACAACATTTCTCTATTTTTTCTATTATTTTCCATTCATTCATAAATCTCTGTATGTTTTGCCATACAGTTGGGCGTGTTGTGGGTGAGTGAATGCGACAGACCTCGATAATGAACTTTGAGTGTCTGGTGGATGCCAGTCAGTAGTTGGTTGGTTGCATGTCTATAATACCGGCTAAATGGGCAACGTCATTCTTCACACACACACACAGAGGCCAGCCATAGAAGAATAGCAAGCAAACAGCTACTAGCTAAGGCATAGCTGCTCAATGCGCATGCATTTCAAAAAATGTGGTCACTAAACACAATGCATGCCAGGGAGGTGGCACATCAGCTAGACAGATAGACCAGTGCAGGATGTTGCAGAAAAACACCCACAAACACAGACACACGGGAAACAGAAAATAAGGAAGGAGACGATAATGAAGAAGGGGGAGCAGAGGATGCAGAAGTATGAGATCCAGCACTTGGCCAATGAATATATACTTTGGAAATTACCACATAACAAATTACCTAAAGGGATAATTATTTTTAATCAAAGAAATTAAAATATCTAGAAGTATCTAGTATAGGAAGAGAGGACAGCAAGAGGCAAAGAGGTGCATAGACATAAACAAAAACCAAACTGACTATGGAATGGAATTTTTCTTTGCAAGGCACAAGTCTGACTGATGTGGCCATGTGGTAGCAATGGCGGGGCAGCAAATGGGTGTTTTCCTCAATGTCTGCCGTCCATGCTGATTTGTTGTTGCTGGTTTTCTTGGTTTTTATTGTAATTATATGGCATTTTGTTGGCATTTTTTTTATCAATATAATGGGGCCAGCCAGTAATGCAAGGTTGAATTAAATGCAATTTTGTAAAGGACTTGTATCAAAAATATTTGATAAATATTTTTCTGTTTTTATTTTTGGGCAAAAAGAAAATCATAAATATTTAAAAGTAAATATTTTCACCATAAAGGTCATACAGTTGGCAAGAAAATGGAAATAGAAAATTATAAAAATTATGCAAAATTAAAGAGAAAAGTACAATTTAAAACCCTCTAAATATAGAAGTTTCCCAAAAAGGTAAAAAAAATCCTCAAAAACATAAAACATTAAATCTTATGTATTAGCATTTTATTTATTTCTACAACTAATGTGAATATGAAAAATAATGTCTAATGTTTTTCACAATAAAAAAAGGTAAAAAAGCTTTAAGTTCTTTGAATACCCTCAGCCATTTGGAACAAATTTGCCAATCTTCAAAAAAAAATTAAGTCTGTTAAAATCTTAAAAATACAAAACGTAGACGTTACATTAAGGTCTAAACGAAGAAGTGGACCTGCATAGGCAACTTTTGTCATAAGCCATTACAATATTCAAATGCGAAACCTTAAAAAAAATCTAAATTCATCGAAATACCGAATTTTGGGAGGTAGCGTTATATGGGGGCTATACGTGGACCTGCACAGACACTTTTCAGTCTTAGGCTGTAGTATCCATTACGAAGTACAAATACCAAATTTAAAAGAGTTCCGGTGGATAATGTCGCTAGAGTCATCAAAATACCACATTTCGGGAGGTGCCGTTATATGGAGGCTATACGAAGGCGTGGACGTGCACGAACAATTTTATGTCATAGGCTGTAGTACCTATTTTGAACTTCAAATACCAAACATGAAACATTTCCGGCGAATAATGTCGCTTCAATTACCGAAATGCCGAAAATAGGGAGGGAGGTACCGTTATATGGGGGCTGTACGAAAACTTGGACCTACATGGCTCATTTTTAATATCAAAAGTCCTGCAGACATAATATACATTTGAGTAAAATGTCACCAACCCACTTGATTTCGTTCGGAAGCTAGAGTGATTTCCATAGATAAACTTTTTGGGGTCTAAAATGTATATTTCGGGATGTTAGAAACGGAATGGCAAACTTAATATACCCTCCATGCTATGGTGGAGGGTATAAAAAAATCTTGAGAACTACCGAAAATCGAAGACGGCCCTATGAAAGTTACATCAGAAAAACTAAAAGTGCTTCTAAAAAGAGCGGACACATTCTAAAGGAGTTCTTCTGTGGTTTTTTTACAGCTAAACAAAATATATTTCATAAATAAAATTCATTGTAAAAATTTCATAAATAAAATTCATTTTAAAACTGAAAAACTTCAATTCTTATTAAAACAAAATAGCTCGGAAAAATTTTGGACATTTTAGATATCGTTCTTTTTATGTGATAGCTTAATTGACATTATTTTTTTAAAGATACATTCACATTGCATTTTAATTTCTACATAAGTAAACTAATGTGTATAAATGTATACATACATACATACATATGTATAAAACAAAACGGAAATATCAAATTTAACAAGCATTGCACATTCGATGGAACATTTGAGATACACTCGAAAAAAATAGTAAATACATACATAACAAAAGATAAACCATATGAATAGAAATTTATCGAAAGAAAATTCGAACTGAATCGGACCACAATTATTATTAAAAAAAATATATATAATATCTTTACATCGATATGTAAACAACCACTCCATCTCAAAAAGCTTACGGCATTCGAAAATTATATCTGTGAAATCTATCTAAAAACTAGTTATTCAACGCAGTATTACATATTCGGGGAAATATATGAAATACAGCTCAGAAATACCTTTGTCAAATTTTATCTAGATCGGTTCAGAATTTAGTTTTTGTTACTTTATTTAGAATCGGCATTTTTCTAAATAAAAACAAGTAATAAAGCAGAACTTTTAGTAGCCTTCACCATTTAAAAAGAAACTTGAAAATTTTAAAAAAAATTCCGTTTAAATAATGACCTCTATGCGGGGGCTATACGAAGACGTGGGCCTGCATATGATTTTTTTTTCATAGCTGTAGTACCCATTAACATCTTCAAATACGAAATTTGAAACAATTCTGGCGAATAATGTTTCTAAAATCATCAAAATACCGAATAAAGGGAGGTACCGTTATATGGGGGCTATACAAGGACGTGGACCTGCATAAGACATTTTTAGGCATGGGGTGTAGTACCCGTTACGAAAATTGAATACGAAAATTGAAACAATTCTGGTGCATAATGTCGCTAAAATCATCAAAATATCGAATAAAGGGAGGTACCGTTATATGGGGGCTATACAAGGACGTGGACTTGCATAAGAAATTTTTAGGCATAGGGTGTAGTACCCGTTATGAACTTTGAATACGAAATTAGAAACAATTCTGGTGAATAATGTCGCTAAAATCACCAAAATACCTAAAATATGCAGGTCACGTTATTTGGGGGCTATTTCAAAATGTGGACTTTCATGACCCATTTCCAATACCAAAAGTACTGGAGACATAATATACATTTGAGTAAAATTTTATCAATCTTCTTCTTTCGTTCGGAAGCTAAAGTGATTCCCACAGACGGACGGACATCGCTAAATCGACATAGAATTTTATGCTGATCAAGAATGTATATATTTCGTAGGGTCTAAAATGTATTTTTCGAGGTGTTACAAACGGAATGACAAATTTAATATACCCTCTATACTATGGTGGAGGGTATAAAAACGAAACGATAATTCTGAAAGAATATTCTGGTACATTTCTTAGAAAACACAAATAATAGCTAAAAACGCCGAAAAGTCAATATTTAAAGAGTTATGGCCATTTTAAAATATTCAATAATTCAACCTCAAAAAAGTGATCACAAATAATAGCTAAAAGCGCCGAAAAGTCAATATTTAAGGAGTTATGGCCATTTTAAAATATTCAATATCTCAACCTCAAAAAAGTGATCGCAAATAATAGCTAAAACGCCGAAAAGTCAATATTTAAGGAGTTATGGCCATTTTAAAATGTTCAATAATTCAACCTCAAAAAAAGTGATCACAAAAAATAGCTAAAAACGCCGAAAAATCAAATATTTAAGGAGTTATGGCCATTTTAAAATATTCAATCATTCAACCTCAAAAAAAGTGATCACAAATAATAGCTAAAAGCGCCGAAAAGTCAATATTTAAGGAATTATGGCCATTTTAAAATATTCAATCATTCAACCTCAGAAAAGTGATCACAAATAATAGCTAAAAACGCCGAAAAGTCAATATTTAAGGAGTTCTGGCCATTTTAAAATATTCAGTAATTCAACCTCAAAAAAGTGATCACAAATAATAGCTAAAAACGCCGAAAAGTCAATATTTAAGAAGTTATGGCCACTTTAAAATATTCAATAATTCAATACATCAGAAAGTAAAAAATGACGCATGGAAGACCCAATGCACGTCACCGACCATTTGTCAAAATCAAAAAAGATTAGATCAATCTATAACTAGACACCCCCCTATATCAGAAAACGAACAGAAAATCCTGAAAGAACATACCAGAAAGTCTGAGAAATGGAGTATATCTCAAAAAGTAAAAAAGAACGACCCCGACTATATATCAAAATTCAAAAAGATTTTATCACTATATCGTAATTCCTATGAAATTTATTGATTTTTTTTATTTCCTAATGGATTTTTTTTCTTCAAAATTTGAATTTAGTTAATTTGTTTATCTTTAATTCTGTATTTATACAAAAAAAGTGTACTTACTCAAAGTTGTTGTAGCTGTTGTAGAGTTCGAAGTTAAAGTGTTGATGTTTTCCAGTTGTCGAAGAGCTGGGTTATATCGGCTTCTCCAAAAATTAAAATAGAATTAAGTTGAAATCCAATTAGCGCAATGACGATTGGTATCGGGTTTTGGATGTTCGACGCGATCTCTCCTCTGTGTGTGTGTGTGTAAGATTAAAGTTTTTTTTTTGGGGTGTGAAAAGGCCTCGTTGGTATTATATTTTATAGTTAAATAAAATTACAATTATTTTAATAAAACGAAATTACAAAACAAAAAAATAAATGAAAAACAAGTAACACCAAAACCCGAGAGTGGTGTGGTGTCGTCGTCGTGTTGTTGGTTGTTGAAGAGAGGGGGGTTTTTCGGCACAATTTGAAGTATTTGGAAGATATCAAGTTGTTGTTGCTGTTATTGTTGTTAGATAATCCCAATTGGTTGATTGTTGAAGTCTGGATTTGATTTTTCTTTTTTGTTGTTTTTTTCGTTTCTAGATTGTATAAAAGAACACAGCACTTGAATTTGTAGAGTTTTTGGTTGTTTTTGTTTTTTCAAAGTTTGTGGTTTAGACACAATGAACACTAAAATATATTGTTGTTGTTGCTGAATATTTTACTAAAAATACATAGAAGAAAAAAATATTTAATTAAAATTATTACTCTTAACAAAAAGTAGTTGTAGTTTTTTTTTTGGCACTTTTCACTTGTGTTTTCTTTTTGTTGTTTTTTTTTTTCCTATTTTTTCTGATCACTTTCCTCCTTTGTTATGACGAATTGTTATTTTGTTTATTTTCGGGTTTTTGGTTTTAATTTTATTTTAGTTCATGTGTTTGAGTTCTTTTATTTTTTTTGCAAATAAAATTGAATTCTTACGAGTCGGATTTTTATTTTTGCTTTTCGTTTGGCTTAGTTTAGTTTGGAAAAAAAGTGTAAAGCGCGCGTTATAGCACGAACGACGAACACACAACTGGCTGAGAGCAGAGAGAAGATGCAATAATGATGCACTTTTTGTGCTTGTTGGGATTGTGTGCAAAAATACGATGACGTTTCAACGACGACGAGGCGAAGCTCCATGCACACGAAGTTATGCACGACCAGGTTTGATGTAATGGTATTGGTGGTGGTGGTGGTGGCAGACTGGCTCACACACGTTCTATGCCAAAGAACTTTGAATGGACTCTAGTGGGGGGTAAGTAAGTAAGAGCTAAGTTGTTGCTTTGTCCACTGGAGATCGTTGGCTGGCAATCTCTGCTGCAATGAATGCACTTTTGAAAGGTGTCGTTGTATTGGTGGTGGCAGTGATGATAATGCATCAGCAGCTGCGTTTTCCTGAAAATGCACTTTCTAGTAAATGCATTTTGCAATGCACTTTTTGTGTCTCTCTCTCTCTCTCCCTCTCTTAAAACTGCATTTCATTTAATTGAAAGTACGTTTTTATTACACATACGCACAGCACACCCTGCCCGCATGACGGTCAACAAATTAATAAAATAAAAGAGAACCTTTGCAACGAACACACAAGAGAGCCCAAATGCAAGCCAAGAGCTTTATGATCTATTGTGTGTGGGTTGTGGTTGCTTGCTTGCTATTTCGAGTGGTTGCTCTACCCGAGTTGCTTCGTTCGTACGTGCGTGTGTGTGTGTGCGGCTGTGTGCAATAAAACGGTTGTGTGTTGTGCCTTCTTCGTTCGTGCAAGAGCGGGAGTAGGGACTGCGCTGCTGCTCTGTTTGAAAACTTGTTTTGATGCAGAGATGCAACGCGGATGCACTTCAACACAGGGTTGTATTTTTACCGGTTTTCTTGTTGTTGTTGTTTGTTTCGAATTCAATTAAGTTTGCTTGGACTGCCACGTGTTCCTTGATTCGTTTTCCTCAAGATTTGTTTCGTTCGTTGCTTGAAATATCACTCAAAGTTTGGAGGTTAGTTTTTGGGGGGACACACATGATTTCTTTTTTTTTAGTTTTTAATTAAACTTAATAATTTTTTAATAATAATAATAAACTTTATTTTTATTTTAAAACATAAAAAATCTGAGTTTTTTTTTAATTTCTCTGAATTTTTTCAGCAAGTGTTGCCTCCTTCGAAAAAAAGGGATATTTGTGTGAGCAGCCACCGAGAGAGCGCGCGTCCAGTTCCAGCAAACAAGTTCAAGAAATGGCTGGGTCGGCGCAAGAATAATTGTAGGTTTTGAGACCGAGCCAGCCGAGTTATACACACTAGAAATCGAGTTTTTTTCTTCGTCTGTTTTGGCTTGTTTGCTTGTTATCCGTTTAATTAAAACCAATTAAACCCGAGAGGTTGTTGTTTCTTTTTTATTATATAATCGTTAACTACTATTTATAGCGAAACTGAGATTACACTATTCAACAGGATTTTAGTTTGTTTTTTTCTGAATTTATATATTTTCCTCAAACACAAAGTGAAAAATGAAAAAAGTTTAAACACTTTATATCCTCTTTAAGATTGAAACTCACATCGATTTTTTTATTTCAACACAAGATTAATCCAATTTAGCTTTTTTTTGGGCGATTTTATAGATGTACGAGTATATATGTTCTCCAAATTTCAGGTGGTGTTTATTTCACTTTTTTGTGGTTTAAAATGTTCGAAAATGATTTTTTTGCATTCCCTAACATGGCGATGCATTTTTTAATTTATTTATTTTTCAATCATAGGATTATTGGCCGAAGAATATCAAATTTCAAAAGCCATTCAAATTTGAGAACCCGCACTTAATGATGTTGATTTTTGTCAAGAGTTAAGATTTTTTCCTTTTGTTTTTCAAGATTTTCCACACAAGATTTTTTTGGTTTTCAAAATTTTGTATTTTTCCAATTTGTTTTTCTTTATTTATATTCTTTTAAGTATACGCGGACTTGGTTTATTTTTTTTCCAAATTTTTGTTTTTAATTCCAAAGGATTTTCATGGGGATTTTCGGCAACTGTTTGTTTTATTTTTTATAAAAAAAAATTATCCAAAATTATTTTGGTTAGTTTTTTTTTTCGTGAACTGCAAATGTTTGTTTATTCCTTGAATTACAGATTTAATTTTTTGTGATTTTTTATTAATTAAAGAAATATTGTTAGTTAGTGGAAGTTGTTTGAAAAAACGGCGTTAATTTTTTCACATTGTCGTCCGCGATACTAACGTGTGGCAGGCAATAATATTGTGTCTGACTCTACTCTAAAAACCGAAATAGTCGCATACATGAATCCAAGTGGCACACAGACAGTTTTTCGCCAAACTCAACAAACACAAAGCCAAGCTAGCAAACTACCAAGCAGCAGCCAAGCAACAACAACAGCAAAGGGAGACACACACAATACGAATGAATATTTGCTGCAGCAAACTACCAACACCAATGCATTTGCAGTAAAGCAAGGCAAGGCAATAATGCCGGTAGACGTCCTCTCACTATCTGCTCTGTGTGCCCCCCAGAGTTTTGCACTCTCAACGTTCATATATCTACAATGTATGTGTGAGTTTTTTTTTTTTTTTGGCTGGAGGAGAGTAATATTTGCAATTTTTTGTTTTGTTTATTTTTTTATTTGGCATTTCATTTGATCCACCACACATGCACATGCGTCTCCTCACAAAAATTGTCTCCCAGATTTATTCTCTCTTGATTATAAACTCAACATTGTCTAACTACTAATGCACAGTGGATATTTAATATAAAACATATATTTTTTTACCTATCTGCTTATGACGAAGAATCCTATATTGATTTTTTTGAATATCGGGAATGTCACCGTCAACTTAAAACTGATTTAGTTGCCGTATTTTTTACCATATTAAATGCGAAGATTTGGAATGCAACTAGGGCTATGTACAAACTATTCCGAGTAGGGTAAGTGTGCCTAAGTTCGGCATGTCCCAGTAGTCGGCACTTTTTATTTTTAAGCCCAAATAAATGAAACTATTATAACTAAATGTATTTTGTTTACTTCAAATACATTGTCAGCTATCTTTGTGTACAATTTCGCTAAGAATCAGTTTAACTAAACAAAAATATTATATTTTAATGAATAAATTTACTATTATTATTAATTATTCTTACAAAAAATTGGTATGCCGACTGTTGGAAAATGTCATACCGACAATTGGCAAGTGGTGCCGACTACTGGCAAAAAAGCATTGTTTTAATAAAACTACAAATTTATGAAATTTAATAAAAAGTTATTAAAACTTTATTTATTTTTGCAAAAACTATACAAAATTTCGAATCTGAATAAATTAGCTTTGTAATAATTGAAAAGTTCCACTCAAAATGGTGAGAGATTAAAAACGCGAAAATCCTAAAAGTGCCGACTACTGGTACACTTACCCTATATATAAGACGAAAATCCTATGCGTCATATTTCGAAGAAATGTTTACACTTCTGCTCGAGTCAACAATATCTGTGAAAAGTGAAGCCAAGGACCATATTCTACTTAGGTCACTTGATGTGCAGACAAAGAGACCTTCCTGACCTCAGTTAAATACCTAGGCATTTTGTATTGTTCAGTACAAATTTCTAAAACGTCAACTTATTTACAGGCCTTATTTACAAAATGATGATATTCTTGCTCTAAAAAAACAGATCTTTATTCCCCAAAGCAAGTTTGTAGTACTGACTTAGAGACAATTCGGAGAGAGTTAGTCTTGGGCTTTCGACCAACGGAAAGAGGTAAAATTGTGAAATTTGAAATGATTATGGTACTAAATTTTTAAAATGGTATCATTTGGTATAAGGGAAAAGGATAGAGTTAAAAACTTGAAATTTGGGATGTGTGAAAAGCATAAGCATAACCATTATTTTTGATAGCAGCTGCACACCTACGAGGCATTGAATCTATAACACGCTCTATTTGATCCTTGGGTGTGCTTTCCCCGAATTCTTTAGAAAATGTTGTGCTTATTTCTTTTCGAATCTCGCTTGATCTTCCTGTCTACGATACTCCAAAGATTTTCTATGGGGTTTAGGTCAGATGATTGTGCCGGCCATAACAAAACATCAATTTTTGACTCCCGCAACCAATATTTGACAAGTTTTGATGCAAGTTTGGGATCATTGTCATGCTGAAACACCCAAATCAGCCGAATATTTTACTCAGCGTAAGGGAACAACGTGATGTCCAACACAACTTTGTAAACAAACCGATCCATAACTTCCTTTATTTCATGGAAAGGCCCAAGTCCATAGAAAGAAAAACAGCGCCACGCCATTTTGACCCTCTCTCATGCTTCACTGTACTTTTGCAACACTGCGGCTTGAGTCTTTCATTTTTTGGTCTTCTCACCGTAAAATTTTTCACGTCTGAGCCTTTAATATTAAACGTAGACTCATCCCAGAAATAATGTTTTTTCCGTTGAGCTTGATTCCACTTAATATTATCATTTCCGAAAGCCTTTGTGATTTTTTCAGATATAAATGGCTTTTTTGATGGCTTACGGGCATGCAGACCAGCTGCCACTACTAGTCTATGCACTGATCTTGGGCTTATATCCAATGATTGCTCTCTCACCAATCCAGTTGAACTCTGAAATAGTTGTTTTTTATTTCTCTCACAATTTGTTGATCAGTACGGGCTGAAGTTTTTCACGGCCTTCATCCGTTATAGACTGTTACTACTGATCCAGTTTCAAAAAACCTACTTAGTATACAGAAATAATTATAAAATCACATAAATATTTATGAAATATTTCTCGGAAATCATTTTCTGTGATATGTTGTTTTGATAGTCACTGATAATTTGCTGTTTTATTCAGGTACTGAATTTGCTTCTAGCCATTTTCAAATTTTTTTTTGGGCAGTACTTAAAAACGAAAAGAAAAACACATACTGTTGTAAAAAACTTCTCAAAAAGGATTTATGACAAGCGAAATTGTCGAAGGAAGCAAAATGCGATAAATATCACAGTAAAAACAACTGAAATTGCAGCGGTTATATGAATGTACAACAGAGTTGCTTTTGTTTTGTCCAAGCCAAAATCGGGTTAATTGACTTTACCAAACATTATTTTTTATATAAAAATGAATTTTGGTTTTATGTTTTAGAGTTTTAAAAAGTGAACAAAGTACCTAATTTAAAACAAGGAAAACTTTCTGATTTTCTTAATTTTTAAAAAAGTTACAGGGCATTTATTCTCCTTGTAATTTCAGTTGCTTTAGTTTTGGCCACCAGTGTATATATATATTGTATCTCTATCCCTTCAAATATAGTACCATTCAGTTTGGAGATGTGTCCCATATTTGTACGAAAAGTACTAAATGGTACTAGATTAGGTGGGAGAATGAATAGGGCTGGAATTTTAAAATTTTATATTGAGGCATCTGTTGGTATCTGGAATTGAAATATGGAGATGGTTTTGGAAGTAAGCATTATAATTGTTCGAAAAGTACTAAATGTTACTAAATTTGTTGTTGAATGAATGGTTAAAGGTAAAATTTTGAAATTTGATATTAAGGTCACTGTTGGTGTCTAGGGTTTACATATAGAGACGTTAAAATAGTTTATATAAATAGCAATGGCCTTGCTAATATCCTCCTCGGTAAATTTAAAAAATTCAAGATTTTTGAGCACATGAGTTTCTCATTCAATTATCACGAAAATGTTTCAATTGTTTTATCGGTTTAAATCGATTCTGTCTGTAACAAAATTTTAAATTAATTTAAGTGTTTTAATTTAAGTTTTTCGGATTGTGTTCGTACATTACACTAGCCCTATAACTTTTATAGCTTCGTTTTGTCCATCCAAAACCACAGTGCAAAATGGCCAAAAGCCATTCATCATTCGGTTAAACTGCAGTTCAACCACCCATAAGTTTATGCTAAACAAACGGCGGCCACACGGTCGGTCGGTCACCACCACAGGCACAAAAAGACGATAACCCTTCCATCTTGACTCATTCTCTCTCTCTCTCTCTCTCTGCCAAGCTCTCAACGCAGCAGCAATCTCTTCCCTGAAACGTTGAAGGAAAAAATCTGGTGGAGAGAGTGTGTAGGAAACTTTTTGCAGTTTTGAAGTTTGGCAAAGAAAAATGTATGACGTACTCAATCTTTCGCTCTTGCGCTCTCTCTCTCTGTCCGAACTTTCAAACACCATAGTTTTGCAGTTCTGCATCGCAGTGATTTCAAAAATATCCCCCTCCTCCTCCTCATCGTTCGACATCACTTTTATAACAACTACAAAGAAAGCCTTCAGCCGGTGATTTGCTTTTGCTTTTTAAGTTTCATTTTTCGCATTTCTACTTCTTCTCTCTATCGCAATTTATTTTATAGAAATATCTTTTGAAAAAGTGAAAGAACGCTGATGATGATGACGGTGAACGACAACAACAACAACAAAGACAAATTGAACAATGATGACAAACGACAGCAACAGCAGCAACAACAAACTACGACTAGAGAACATTTCAATTAAATGCATCTCATTTTTTGGGTTGTTCGTGGTAAGAAGAAAAACGAGAGATACTCAAGGAAGGAAAAGAGAGTGGGGAGAGAAATGCCAAGCAAAGGCCTAAGGTAGCAGGCGGAATACAGCATGCAGCAAATCAGCAGTCATCCATATTTATATTTTTTCTGTGGCAATGTCGATAGGTATGTGTGTATCTTTGAGATACAACATCCGTCTAGGTGTCCGGGGGGTCGGTCAGTCCTCCTCACTCTATTGAATATGGGAGAAATTATTGCTTCTTTAAATTGTTGCTGTCACAATAATTATCATCAAACATCGCAACGTAAATTGTCCGTTTGCTACTTTGCTGCGATGGATCTGATAAGAAATCCCATCGTTGCCGTTATCATTCTCATCATCTTCGTCAGACATCATCCTCATCATAATGATATATAAATTAATACTTGAGGGGGTTCTTGATTTGTTTGCAGCAGACACTGCTGCTGGCTGCCTCCGGTTGGCATTAGCTTTTGTTCCACAATTAGGTCTTGATCTGCGAAGAACAAACATGCCAACGTCACTGAGCTGCTCTCTGGCTAACGCTCAGAAGATTGTAGTCAATTGCAGGCGATACCGGCACTTGAGTTAATAATACCAACCAACAACATCACACAAACACACCTGTCAGTCCCCCCACCCACACACCTCACACCCAACAAACCTCATCGTCAAACAAAGATGAGGCTATTAGACCAAAGCTAGCGCACACATCTCCTTGCAACACTAAT